TAGTGGCACCAACGATGAATTTTTGGAGCCTGCATGACAGGAAACTTTTAATCCAATTAAAAATGCTGCCCTGTATTCCACACTCCCAAATCTTCTGTAGGAGTCATCCATGAGGAACGCTGTCAAACGCTTTCTTAAAGTCAAAGAAGATGACGTCCACTGGACGGCCCTGGTCTATGGCTCTTGTCCACTTTTCCTGAGAGTAGAGACTGCTTGTAAGACAGGAGTGACCACGACGAAACCCGTGCTGAGCAGCACATAACAGGTCCCTCTGCTCCAGATACGACATTAAATGCCCTTTAATAAGTCGTTCCATTACCTTGCATAGAATGCAGGTTACACTAATAGGACGGTAGTTTTCGGGTTCCAGCCTGGATCCTCCTTTATAGATTGGAGAAATATGGGCCGTTTTCCACTCCTCCGGCAGTTCGCCTTCGTCCATGGACTTCCGAAATATCATGGACACCGGCTCACAGAGTACATCGGCTAATTCTCGGAGGACAAGTGGATGAATTCCATCTGGACCAGGTGATTTGGCAGGTTTCAGCCGGCGTAGTTCGGTCCTTATCAACGTGGGTGAGAAGAAAGGATTGTCTTCCGATGCAGGACAGGAAGGATTTGGTCGTTGGTCTATGCAAGGCATGGCAGGAGGGTTTGTGTCATGAGTGAATACCTACTGAAAGAAATTGGAGAAGACTGATGCTTTCAGGTGGTCATCTGTCTCAATTACTCCGTTTTGGGATCTTAGCGCTGGAATCGGTTCACGATTGCTCTGTCCATTACGTATGTAACTATAGAGGATTTTAGGATGCTCCAAGGAATTTTGTAATATGCGCGGCTCATAGTTGCTTCGAAGTCTATGAGCCTCGCGTTTATACGCATTCCGCTGTCGTTTGTATTCCTTCAGATCTTCAGAACTGTCTGTTTGTCGGTAGCGTCTCCACACTTTATTTCTCCTCTTAAATGCGGTTTGAAGTTTCCGGTTTATCCACGGCGGGCGGTTGGTTGTTTTCTTTCGCCTGAGTGGACAGTTCAGATCAACGATTCTTTTGACCAGTGAGCTGAACGTGCTCCAATAGTTATTAACTGTTCCCTGCAATGTGGTGGTCCACGGTATTGCTGAGACCTGCGTTCGCATGCTAGAAAAATCCCCTTTCTTTGTAATTGTTCAGGTGAATTAGGCTGGGAGAACATGGAATACTCAAAGAGCATCACAATATGATCACTAGCACCAATTGGCGGGAGATCTTGTATATCCAGCACACTCTCCTCATCTCGAGTGAGCACCAGGTCGAGGCAATTTGAACGTTGCCCTTCCCTAACACGTGTTCTGAGAGTTACATTCTGGAAAAGTAGTTTTTCTATTGCCAATTAAAGCAAATGTTGTCCAAATGTGTTTGATGGACTCAAAACCGTCCAAGCTTGCCAGTCGATATTGGGGGCGTTAAAGTCCCCGACAATAAGGACGTCTCTGTTCGAGCAGGCCTTTTTCAGTTCCCTTAGGAGAAGGCTATCGTGTTCAGAAATCTGGTTTGGGGGACGATACACAACTGCAAACGCCAGCGGCCTGGCGTATTTAGTGGAGATAGTTAAAGGTAAGAATTCCACTTCCGCTGTTGTTGTTGGATTATGCTCAGGGACCGCGGTTAGGTTGTAGCTAACATAGACAGCGAACCCTCCTCCTCGGCTTCTCCTGTCTCTGCTGAACAGTTGGTAGCCTCTGAGGGATACCTCGTGGTCTCCAATAGCTTCAGAAAGCCATGTTTCTGTCAAGGCGATGATATCTGGCGTGTGCTCGTCGATCAGAGTCCTGAGTTCATCCATCTTGTTAAACAGGCTCTGCACATTCGAATACAGCACCTTTAGTGTCCGTCTTCTCGGGGGGAACTGGCCCTGATTGCAAAGAGGTTTGGCCACAGGAACGATCGTTTGATCTGCATTATCTTGCCTTCCTTTATTTTGAACCCCTTCTCCCCCTCTTCTGTCCTTCTTTTCAGTTCTGTCCAGAGCTCCCTCATCTTGTGTCTTTCTGTCGGTTCGTAATCCGGCTGAAAAAACACTTCCTTATGCGAATGACGAAGGGCCATCCTCCCTTCTAAGAGATGCGAGGCCTGGTCTTCATTTGCAAGAATCATTTTAAGAGGCCTTGGTAATGCACGCGACGCATCTGCGTTTCCTAGACGGAAAGCTTTGTGCACGGTAACACATTCTCCGTCCTGAAGGACGGCATTTGAATATGTTTGAAAGAGGTTGAGATCGTGTTCGATTCTTTCTTTTGCAGTCGGAGAATTGGACTCAGGAGCTCCCTTTATGACGATGTTTCGTTTTCGGTAGAGATGCCTGTTTGGAAGAGAGCTCCTACGTTTATTTTTACACGCGCGTTCAGAATTTCGCCAATTTCCGTTGTCATCGTTTGACTCAGACGCAGATGTGATGGCGTAGCTACTACACGGTTCCTCACCAACCGAGTCGTGCGATACATCCTTCGGCAGTGTGGTATTTGCTGGCATTGTGTGTGGACTCTGCTCTCTCTTACGAACAGCCTGACCTGCTTTTTCTTTTCGGGATGCCCCGGGGCGCTTCTGCTTTTCCTGAGATCCCTCTGTCGTTCTTTTCTTGCACAGGAGGTCGGTTCTCAGTTGTGATTTCTTCCTTAGACGGGCAGTCTTCTTCGTTGACGGCTGATCCAGTTAATGATACTATCCTCATAATTAGGGAAAGGATTTCTTGTGAGTCAAATTTTGTTCCGCATACTAGTTTGCTGTAGTTTTTGGGCGTGAACCCGATGAGCTTCAAACGCTTATTTTTGCGGCGGAAGATAACAAATCAGCTGGGAGATAACTCGGTCAACGTCATACGTAAAAATTTTCCTGACGGCATATGAACCTGTAAAACTACATCGGAGGCCCTTTAAGGCAGTTTTCCACTAGTTTAAACCACATCTATCCGAGTGATGATTTCATGTGAATTATGTTTTTCTGATTATCTGTGCAAAATCAACTTCTGCACTAAGCTCTGTCGACAGAATTCAGTTTTATCTGAAGATATATGATTAAGAAGCTTTTTAATGTTCTTACGCTCTATTCAAGGTGAAGACCTGATATAGCCTTTGTCCGGTACAAAATATCTTTGGTTTTTCCGAAATTGTCAACGCAACCTCTTCCAAAATTGTTTAAAAGAATGTGGTTTGCTTCTCTGTCACCTAAGTTAATTGACTTTTTTGTTGATTGGACACTTTTCCCCGACCTACACTACTGTACCGGTCTGAGGGTGAATACTCGGAAATGCACGTTCGCCAAATCAGAATTTTTACATAGTATTCGGCCACTCTTACAAGTAAACAGGCGTGACTGTTTTATTTCCTGGCAATCTTATGTCAGACTCAATAAAGCGACTCAAACACTCTAGGAGAGGTGAGGCTCTCCTTTAAGCGTTTGTTCCGCGACGAGTGAATGACATTTTCGTTTGTCTAAAGAAAGGAAAGCTGATGGATTTTAAAAGCCTAAATTACAGCTGACTGCTTATCGCAAGCTTTGTGGTAGTTTGCACTGCAAATAGGATAGGATAGTAGGAACACGAAATAAAATAATGCTAAGAAAAAAGTCGACAGTAAGAGCAAAATGTCAAGGTTATTTTTAAGTAAACAGTTAAACGGATTACTCTTGTGTTTATTGGATGAAAAAGGTACCTGCATGTTAAACAATCCTTAATATATCTAAATTCTTTGTGATGTGGAATTATGAAAATCTTGGCTAGTGCACAAGCAACTTAAGGAAATATCCTCCGTCGGATAAGTAGTCCTTAGTTACTTATTGTTTGATGTTTAGGGGCGACTCGCAGTTACGAAACAACTCCTTAAATTTCGTTCTGTACTACTGAGTGCATCTGCTGTTTGAATACGTATCTACCTGCCTAGTCAGACTCTCAAGTGAATTTCGGTAGAAATAAATGCAGAATACCTCACAAAATGCAGCTTTTCTGTCCACTGAAATTAGAGAACTAAACCACTGTCACGGCTAAATGTTCTTCTTTCTCTTTAGACGAAGGAACTGACCCTCGCAAGCAAAGTAAGTGTATCGTCGTTGTGATAGAACTCTGTTCTTGTTGCTGTAACTAATTCCCTGACTTACTCCCTCAGTTTCAAACACCATCTTCTTTCACGAGGCAAAAGGCCGCCTTTTCATAACATTTAATCAAAAGCTTACTCTGATGGAAATGAAACC